TATGTTAGTTCACCAGAGGGTAACCAACACACCCCGGTGATTTTTTCGGGATCTTGTTGCTATGGGGCTAGCTTATCATATCCTAAACCATCCGCAATGTTAAAAGTTTGCATATTTACGTGATCAATAACTACCCAAATCACCTACTGATACATAGATACCCAAGTCACCCATTCATGTCGGTACACGTGGTCATGGATTAAATGATACCCATAGGGATCCATGTATGGTATATATGCTAACATTGGGGGTATATTGATGGTAAATGTTACCATATATAGCATACATGGATCCTATGGGATATGAGATGGGAATGCATTAAATCTGTGTTTTGTCATATAGTAGCGTGGTTTCGTCTCAAAACCAGGGTACCCCCAAATCCAACGACTCATCATTTTCTCTATGTACATTGGCGTTTGGGGTTCCACATGCCGTCCACATCTACCGTCTATGAGGGAACGACCCACCTGTCCATTAGGCAACCTGTGCAGCACCCAATTTATGTGTATATGTATATGTAATTATATGTACACATCTATGATTATATGTATGCTAGCCCCCAAAATATGTAGTTTTATAGTTTCCAAGAATACAAAAGCTGCACCTTGCAGGATCAACGTTACCATGTGGGTAGTTTTAACTGGAATCCTAGGCTTCAAACTGGGTCCTGAAATTGAGCAACGTGCTTCCGGTTTGCAATGTGTCAAGGTCTACAATTTGTCACCGTACACTAAACCCAACCTGAAAATTGAAACACAATTTTACGTACAAGCCACCAACTACTCACCCTATCACCCACTCAATCCTCTTCAACGCAGGGGTCCCTAGTTGTAAGCTTTTGTTTCGATATGTCTCCGCCATACAAATCTAGTACCGCACTCTTTTTTTGGCCCCCCTGTTCTGATGTTTTTGCCATCCTAGCTGTCATAACTTAGACAAATCAGCTTTGTTCATGGCAAGGAAAAAACATGTCTGATCATGTTTGCAAGTTTTTGCTGCTTCATTTTCCGTTCAAGTTTGTTCATGATTTCCCCATTTCCCCAATGCCCATGAGTCCATGGGACAAAAAAAACAATGGAATTTGTGGATGTACCGTCATTTTCCCATGATTTTCCCATGTTTTGATGGCCCCCATGTTTGCCCAGTTGCTACATTCCTCCTCATCCGTTGGAGGACCCCAGGTCACTTCCATTCTTCCGCCCCTGGCGGCCCCAGGCCCCAGGATCCGTTGCCGCGGATGATGGGATACGATCTGATAAAAAAACTGGAACATCACTGGTTATATCTGGTTATATCACTATTAACTAGTTATAATTGGGAACTTACAAGTTATAACCAGTTATTAACTGGATATATCTGATTACAGCTGGTTGTAACTGCATATTTCATGGGATATGGTATCAATATTTCACCAGATCATTGATACATACTGTGTATAAATACTGATGAGTGATTTCAAACAATGTTCGTGATTGGGGATCATCATGCCAAATGTCTGAAATCTGCCATCAACCAGAGAAAAACCAAGGATTATGGCATGTCTCCTCGCCAGTTTGCCCTTCGTAGCGTCGCCACATCCGACGTGGCAGTGCTCATCGGCAGACGGCAAGGCTAGATTTGCCCTTTGTTCTTTTCATGGCGCCATCACTGAGAGCTGTGGCATTGAAAAAGAATTCGTGTTTTCCGCTTCGTCTTACCCTGCTCTGTGCTGGCCTACGCCTGCTTGAGACTCATTCGAGTCTCTGGGCTGCGGCTAGTGGGGCTTCTCGACCGGCTGGACATTGCTGACACCTACACTGTATGATGGTGTAGTGGTGCTGCACAGCTAAGTCACCAGATTTGGCATTGCCTGGGTTGATCAGCTGGATCTACTTGAACTCACAGAAAGTTCACGTTTCCGCTCCCGCAATGGTACCATATAATTTATCTAGTGCATCGCAAATACCATAGTAAATCTTATCAAACATCCGTAGTCCTGACTCATATTTTGTGGGTTGAATTCTAATGCTGACTCCTCAAAGTCCGATAAATTTGCCAATGTTTGTTATTGTTCGTCGTCAAAACATGATCATTCCCAGGGACTGTCTCAGATAACCTGCAGAGAACAGGTGATTTCCAGTTTGGTATTTTTACTGATGTTGTACTGGTTGGTTGTTTCAAACCCTCTGAAAAAGATTAGTCAAATGGGATTATTATTCCCAGTATATGGGAAAATAAAAAATGGTCCAAACCACCAACCAGTGTGTTTGCCAATGTATGGCAAACATCTGACTCATATCAGTAGACTGCACATGTCACCAAAACAACTACACATGCCCATTTGTGGATGGTTAAGTCTAGAATGCTGGGCGGTAACTCACCCTTGATGGTCTATCCGACCATCATACTTATCTCGGACAATCTTGGATTCCTCTGAAAACATACATAGATGGTTAGCTGATTTTATCCACATTTTGCTTGGGCATTAATTTACAGTAAAACACGAAGCAACCATGTTCATTGCCCACTTATAGTCGCTATCCACTTCTGGCTGGAGGTTGCCTAAACATTGGAGATACCAACAAATTAGCATTTTAACACGGAAACTGACAGAACACAATCAACCGTTGAATATCTAAGTGGTACCATCCCATTACTTTGTTTTTCCCCGTTTTCTTGGTTGAATCACGATTTTCCTTGGCAAAATCACACGTGTCCACCATGTGTGTTAGTTCAATCAGCATTTTCCAGAAGTTTTCATGGGAAAAATCCTCCGTTCTGCTGGTTAGATCTTCATGTTCCACCTTTTCAGTTTATTTTTTGTGAGTTAAATCATGTTCAATCCCCATCTCTGATGGTTAGATTCCAGTTTTCCACCATTTTTTCGCGAAGCTGCCGAGGCACTTCTCGGCATCGCCCCAGGTGACCACAGCGCCGGTGTCCTTCAGGGCAGCAAAGGCGGATGCCGTACCTCGGAGCAGTGAAGGGAGAATTGGAGCGCACATTAATGGTTATTGATGGTTATTAATCACCAAACGTAATGTGCTACCTTGGTTCCCTGGGTCCTCTTAATGGCTATTAATGGTTATTAATGGTTCTTAATATTTATCCTCAGGGTGAAACATCAATGGTTATTCATGGTTATTAATATCTATATGAATGGTTATTAATGCCCATAGGATCCATGTATGCTATATATGGTAACATGGATCCCATCAATATACCCCCAATGTTAGCATATATACCAGCACCATGGATCCTATGGGATATATGAATGGTTATTAATATTAATTGGAATACCAACTATGAATACCAACTATGAATACCAACTATATCAGCTATTAATGGCTATTAATTGTTATTCATGGTTCTTAATATTTATCCTCAGGGTGAAACATCAATGGTTATTCATGGTTATTAATGGTTATTATTATCTATATGAATGGTTATTAATACCCATAGGATCCATGGTGCTGCTATATATGGTAACATGGATCCCATCAATATACCCCCAATGTTGGCATATATCATATATACCATACATGGATCCTATGGGATATATGAATGGTTATTAATATATTAATTGGAATACCAACTATGAATACCAACTGTGAATACCAACTATATCAGCTATTAATGGCTATTAATTGTTATTCATGGTTCTTAATATTTATCCTCAGGGTGAAACATCAATGGTTATTCATGGTTATTCATGGTTGTTAATATCTATATGAATGGTTATTAATGCCCATAGGATCCATGTATGCTATATATGGTAACATGGATCCCATCAATATACCCCCCAATGTTAGCATATATACCAGCACCATGGATCCTATGGGATATATGAATGGTTATTAATATTAATTGGAATACCAACTATGAATACCAACTATGAATACCAACTATATCAGCTATTAATGGCTATTAATTGTTATTCATGGTTCTTAATATTTATCCTCAGGGTGAAACATCAATGGTTATTCATGGTTATTAATGGTTATTATTATTTATATGAATGGTTATTAATACCCATAGGATCCATGGTGCTGCTATATATGGTAACATGGATCCCATCAATATACCCCCAATGTTGGCATATATCATATATACCATACATGGATCCTATGGGATATATGAATGGTTATTAATATTAATTGGAATACCAACTATGAATACCAACTATATCAGCTATTAATGGCTATTAATTGTTATTCATGGTTCTTAATATTTATCCTCAGGGAAATATGGGGGAAACAAAAACATCAAGTCAAGTTCTAAGTAAAGATGGGGATGTACCCTCTGGTTATGACTAACATAGCCATGGAAAATGGATGAAAATGGCCCATTAAAACCTCCATTTATAAGGGATGTTCCATGGCTATGTTAAATAACCAGATGGTAATATTTATATGAATTGTTATTAATATATGAATGGTTACTAATATTAATTGGAATGTATTTACATTATGTACTATCATAACAATCACTAATCACTAATGAGATAATAGTGCTTATATTAAAATTGAATAATTAGAAAATAGTGCTAATTGGTTTATTCTTGTTTATGATAGTAATATCGCTAATCATTCATAGGTAGTAGATAATCACTAACCACTAATGGAATGATGAATTATCTATTAGTTCTGATTGATACTTGATAATAACTAATAGATACCAATCATTGCAGATGAAAATTTGATTGTTTAAGAAAACGTGTGACAACTGAAACACCAAATAATCACTGGGTCAAATGTTGCACTAATAACAAGATTTGTTTTAAAAACGAACGCTAGTCGTGAATCCTCAATCAGGAAGATTTGTGGGTGAAATGACTGTTCTATACCAAAAAACACCTGGGGTGATTTTTGACGGCCATGGCCTATATGGAGCAAGATGTGGATATTCCATTCATTGCCATTTCAGTTGGGAAAGGTGAATATCATTGAAGCAGTATAGCTATAATTGTTAGTATCAGAGATGAACAACTATGATTGAATCTAAAATCAATTAGTTGTTGAACAAGCTGCGGAGCACAAATGAACTTATGATCAAACATATCAAAACCAGGAAGTTTTGGTTCCCCGTGTTTAAAACAAAATACCCTGCTGTTCATATCAAAATCGCAGGCATTAGGCACACGAGCCTTGAATGGATGTATCATCACTTTGGTCCATCCCTGTAAACTGTATGTGTTTCCAACATTTCAAAACCCATGGTAATTCCAATGCAGGAGCAAGCACACATGGAGCTACACAGAAGGGCCGTCTAAGGAAAACTCTCCTGTGGATCCTACTAGCCCAATCTGTGCAGATCCACGATAGGGCACTGTCATCTTCTGACAGTTTATGTGCACCAACTGCAGTTGACTAGAATTGTAAACTGCATATCTTGGCACAATTTTTGAATATTGGCAAGTTAACACAGTCAACCGTTGGTTAATCCATGGTTTCGACTTAATCAACTATTAATCCCCATTCATCCCCATTAATCCATGGTTTACCTTACCCCCACAAAAATCTGCGTTGTGAGGTCGCTGTAATTCACGCGACGCGGAACTGCTGATGGAGGTGACTCCGCTTCGCAGTTGCTCGGCCACCTCGCGGCAGTCTCCACCTGGCGATGCCACTGAATTTTCATCAGATTCATGGTGATTTCATGGGGATTTCATGGTGGTTTAATGGTGGTTTAATTGGATTCAATGGTGATTTCAGGGTGATTTATTGGGATTTTTCATGGTAATTTGATGGGGATCAATGGGGATGAATGGGGGTTATTTTGGGGTTTTGTGAGGTTTAAAGGGGATAAACTCTGACACAGTACACCACTTGATGTGTTTTAGTACATCCAAGAACTAATTCTTGAAGGTTAAATCAAGATATGATTGACTATTCGCATTGCCACTTAAAATGTCCACTCGTTTTGTCCCATCGTTGTAGCCAGATCTGACCACATGACTTGGCCGTTGTAGCCTCGCTGGGCCGATGGTTTGCCCGGCAGTTTACCCTATCCATAATACGGCGAAGTTGAATATCTATCCTGGTTGGTGGTGTCAACCCTCTGAAAAATATGAGTTGGTCAATTGGGAGTATTATTTCCAATATATGGAAAAATGTTCCACACCACCAACCAGTTACTGTTTCACTGTTTGATGAAGCGCCAAAATCCAATCCCCAAAAAATGGTTCCTACTTCGTACACATCAGGGCCTCAAGGCCATCAGCTCTTTTTTCTGTGGATCGAATCCACAACTGTTTGGTGGTTTAAACCCTCGGTGGGGATCATCATCCACAGACTTGAAACCATCAATGAGTTCCAGTATCCCCAGATAAAACCCGCTATATCCCCATCATGGGACCCCACTATATCCTCATTAAAGAAACACCAATTTGACCCAATTTGTCTGCTCATTCCAGTAGCTTTTAATTTCTTCACTAACGGTAGGATTGTACTCAAGATGTGCTTGGTGACAGGCCCTCGAACTTTTCAATGCTTTCACCCTGCACGTGCCGTTCTTGAGGTCAAAGTCATGCCCTTGCAGCCGGAGAACTTCAGTGATTCAAAGGCAGAGAAGATGTGACAACAACGCCACATAGATCCAAGTAGACCCCACTTTCAGGGCATGTGCCTGCCAACCAAAGGTCGCGCCGTGTGGGGCGCCAGCTCCGCGGCTTACCAAGACGAAAGTTTGGTTCTGCCTTTCTTTTTTTGGGCCTGCCATGCTTTCGTGCCATGATGCCGCAGGAATGGACCAAGTATCTCTAGCACTAAGCTTGAGATATCAAATTCTCAAAGTTCATGAAATATAGGACACTGGCATTTTCCGGTATTTTGGTTTAAAAAAAAAGAGAGATATTTCCACACCGTTTTTCCTTAAATCCACCTTCTTTTTTCAGTTGGGCATCCCGGTGGGGTTGTCACTTGGTATTGCATGGAACTACATTATGGCATAACTATGGTAAGAACATGTAAGAACCCCCATAATCTGGGATATAATATGATATAACCCCTATAACTTTGCTATATATCCAATATATACAATATATATATATATATCCAATACATATATATATATATATATCGATATATCCGGACACCTATAACCGGAACTGCACCCCAAACAAAAACGTTCCGTAGCTCTCGACGCCCCGCATCCGTAGCTCTCGCCTGCACCGAACGAGCCCCACGTCACACAGGCGCCATTGGCCGTCAGGGCTGCGAAGGCACCGTCTGCACCAAATGGAGTTTGGCCAAGCATTTCTGAAAATGGGATAGCCCGGAATTTGATGGTTCATCATCATCATCATCATGATGCCTATCAACATGCCTATCAACATGGCTATACATGGAGGAGGAGCCAAATTGGATTTCAGGAACAAAACATCGCGAACATTGGCATAGCAAACGCGGATCTGTCTATATGTCAATAACAGGTTAACTATAAGTGGCTAACAGGTATTCACTGGAATTGGGCCAGTTCAAAGGCGTACCCAGAACTGCTTGGTGCAAGTCCTTAAAACCTGCTGCAATGCAATACTGAAATGACACATAATGAATTCTATAATAAAGCTCACTGTCACAAACACAATTGTTCCATTGGCGCTACAGGATCTCTCCATAATTGGGGATAGGTCACCCCCAGAACCGTTAGCTACATTTTAGCTGGAAAAAATGATCAAGTCAGAAGACCGTAGAAGAGTTGGCTTCAAAATATACAAATACACAGGAACAATACAGGCTTACCAAATAAATAAGTTGCTTTAAAGTCCCATCCAACTAGAATACTATAAAACCTATCTAACATAAACCTCAGTACTATAGACTATAGATCTATCTAACATAAACCAACAAGTTAAGCCACTTGCAAACCAACTCCTCGTCGAGCCCAACTTAGGCCACCATTAAAATGCTGGCTTCATCCCTAAATGGATCTGTCTCAAAGTGATCAGCCCATGCCAGCCCCGTTGCCCCGGACGCCTCCCGAGATTTATATAACTGGTGTATAACCAGGCAAAACAAGTTTGTAGTGGATATCTCTACAATTACTTTGGGTCAAAACAGAAACTGAATTTCTATGCCTATTGACTTACAATGGGGGTTAAACGATCCATATCCCATAATTGTACACATTAAACTATATGAAACTCCCGAACTTCCCACGGTGCAATATCGGAAAATATCAATAACATGGGTTAATGACAGTTGTATATACCCTCTGGTAAAGGTTCACATAATGAACTGGAAAATCACCATTTTCAATGGGTAAATCCACTATTTCTATGGCCATTTTCAATATGTAACAAATTACCAGAGAGTATCCCATATACTTAGTTACTTAACTCCCATAATCGCAACGGAAATCAGAGATTTCCCCTGGTTTCCCATGGGAAAACACAGGCCTCCAGAGCCCCAGGCGCCAGTGATGGACACCACATCCACCAACTGCTCGGCGACACCTCCGAAGTTTGGCGAAAGAAAGAAAAACCGGAAAATCCAAGCCACAAAACCCAAAATGTCACACAAGAATATAACATATATATATATGTATATATATATGGTGTTTAATGTATGTATATATATATGTATATGTATATGTATGTGTATATGTATGTAATGTGTATATATATATATATATGTATAATAAATAAATATATATATATATATATATTTGTATATATATATACAAATATATATATATATATATACAAATATATATATATATACAAATATATATATATACAAATATATATATATATATATATATTTGTATATATATATATATATATATACATATTAATATAGACAATAGATAGATGACTCTGACACATATACTTTGGGCTCTGCCTTGTGACACTAACAGTGACCACAATTCATACCACAAAAAAAAGCACAAGAAAAATCAGGTTGTTGTCTCCAATATGACTTTCATTTCCCCTTATTAAGGCTAGATGACCAGGCATATTCCCTGCAAGTTGGCTCCACGGTCGGCACATTTTCTTGCCATGCCCATAAGTCCTTGCTGTCAAAATTCGACATTGGCATTTCCAATGGGATGCCTCATGCATCCAGCTTGTCAGGACCTTGTGGGTAGTGATGCTGCTGATTGCAAAGCAATATTGTTTAGGGTTTTGGATGCTGCCCATTGCAGCGATGATGGCAAAGCAATACTGTTTAGGGATTCGGATGCTGCCCATTGCAGCGCTGATGGCAAAGCAACACTGGTTAGGGTTTAGGATGCTGCCCACCACAATGCCGATGGCAAAGTAATGTTGTTAGGGTTTAGAATGTTGCCCATCGCAGCGCAGATAGCAAAACAATAGAATGTGTGTGTACAATACATATAAAGGCCAGGGCTGCTGGACTGACCCTGGGCAAGGCCTGGGGGCTGAGCCTGGGGACTGAGCCTGGGGGCTGGGGAACGCTGGGGGACTAGAGGCCTGGCGGGCTGGCTGGCTGAGGGGGGTCTGGAGCTGGGCCGGGCTGGCCAATTGAAAATGCTTTAAAAGCAGCGACTTTCCAAAAGCAGAAAGAAAGCAGAAAAAAGCAGAAAAAAAGTAGAAAAAAAGTAGGAAAAAAAGGAACAGGACTTTGTTTTTTTGTGCTTTTTTTTTGTGGTATGAATTGTGTTTTTTTTTGTGTTTTTTTTGTGGTATGAATTGTATTTTTTTTGTTTTTTTTTGTGGTATGAATTGTGTTTTTTTTTTGTGCTTTTTTTTGTGGTATGAATTGTTTTTTTTTTGGTGTTTTTTTTGTGGTATGAATTGTGTTTTTTTTGTGCTTTTTTTGTGGTATGAATTGTGTTTTTTTTTGTGCTTTTCTTTGTGGTATGAATTGTGTGTTTTTTTTCCTTTTTTTGTGGTATGAATTGTGTGTTTTTTTTGTCCTTTTTTTGTGGTATGAATTGTGTGTTTTTTTTGTGGTATGAATTGTGTTTTTTTTGTGCTTTTTTGTGGTATGAATTGTTGTTTTTTTTGTGCTTTTTTTGTGGTATGAATTGTGTTTTTTTTTCTGCTTTTTTTGTGGTATGAATTGTGTTTTTTTTGTGCTTGTTTTTGTGGTATGAATTGTGTTTTTTTTGTGCTTTTTTTGTGGTATGAATTGTGTTTTTTTTGTGGTATGAATTGTGTTTTTTTTCGTGCTTTTTTTGTGCTTTTTTTTGTGCTTTCTGGCAATTGAAAACAAATTAGATAATAGTTTCCCTTCGCAATTTCAAGGACGAACGGGCTGGAAACGCGCATGATTTGTGGTTTTTTTTTGTGCTTTTTTTTGTGGTATGAACTGTGTTTTTTTTTGTGCTTTTTTTTGTGGTATGAATTGTGGTTTTTTTT